TGTCGTGTGTGTGGGGGATGGGACAGCTATCGAAACATGTTACACCATTTAATGCTCGGTAGTCTCCACATGGTGGCCATCTTGTCCCATCCTTTTTTCGAACCATGTGGAGTGGTGAGGCCCATGGACTTTGAGGACGAAAAATACCAGTAGCTAGTAAATTTTCGAACTCACGGTTAGCGAAATCTAATTTTTTCAGTGCCAGTCGGCGAGGTTTTGCCGTGACTGCTGGTCCTCGTGTGACGATGTGGTGAACCACATGCCGGGTCAACGATAGAGTCTCTTCGAGTGGTTTAGTTAGCTGAGGAAATTTTTTGAGTAAAGCGTGGAAAATGTCATCACGCGAATGAAATATACCTGTTATACGGTACGCATTTGCTTGAGCTCAAAAGCCCATAAACTTACTGTTCAACGAATTATCGATTAGCTGCAGTCTACGTGAATCGACTGGCAATTCATAGTGCTGTAAGAAATCGATACCGAGTAAAGCTGTGGGAACATCAGCAATGATGAACGTCCACAGATACTGTCGTCGGTTGCTCAGGTTGACCGTTAGCTGTCGTGTACCACAGGTAGGAATGACAGAGCCATTCGCAGAGCGTAATCGAATCGTTGTAGGTTGAGACTTGCTGCTACCTAGTGGTACGGCAGAAACTTGGGCACCTGTGTCAACGAGGTATTTAGCATTTGTGCGGATATCGTGCTCGTAAAATAAGCGGCCAACTTGAGGTGAGTGGCCTGCGAGTAGGGCCGCATTTCCTCGCCGGCTCGGGGTTTGCGCAATGACTCTGTCTGCCACGAGGGCAACCTGGCTAAGTGGCATGTCTTCGGGCAGAGCGGCAACCGTAGGCTGTACATATGCTGGTAACGATTTGAGCCGCAATTCTTTGACTATATCAGAGTCAGCTGCTGTCGGTCCTGCCGGGGATTGCAGGCGCGTGAGGTGGTGACGTGCTAACAGTGTCCTCAATCGTTCCTCCCTCGATGGAAGGAAATGCTGGAGAATCGCCTGGATTAAACAGACCGCCAAAATGTATAACAGAAAGAGTCAATAAGAACATATTACAAATGTATACATGGAGGGATTTTCCCAAACAAAGCCTTCCATAAAGGATTCTACAGCAACTATCAGTACATATACGTAGTTGCATGTAAGGTTCAACAAATGGTTTTTGATATAGAAATTTTCTTGTTCGTTCAAATTTTTCTATCTTCAAGTTAGGGGGTGTGTTTACATTCTTTGCGAGGAAGAGTAAGTCATTTTCGAGTCCAGGTTTTGCAGAGCACGTGAAACCTTACTCAACCAACTTCTAGTTTCGATTTTCCGCTTGTCTTGATCTCAGACTTGAATTATATCTGATTACTGTCGATTACTTTCTTAGTTAAAAGTAAAGGCACTATACGTACCTTCTGAGGTGTCAGCCCACATTTTCTCTTGTTCTTTTCTCTTTCAAGTCACCTCATACTCCCCCAAAACAGGTTTCTTCAAGCTGAACTTATACTTTAGAAAGACTGATGTTTTAGTTCCGTTATATTCGCAATCCTTATAATGGATGACCGAAATGCCGATATAACTTATTATCTGAATTGGTTATATTTTTATTTTGGAAGTCACTGAAAATGCACAGCTATTCCTATTACTTTTGATCCTCTTTTCAGGTGAGCCCATGTACTCCCCTGTCTTGCGGAGACATTCATGAATTTTCAATGAATAAAAGTGAGCGTTAATAATTCAAGTGGCAATCAAACAAGTGTTTTATATTATGGAGCAAATTTACTACAGGTAGGTCCACGAAGCGATTCATTATCCAAATAAATACATAGAACTGTCTGCAATCCCGTTAAAACAGTGAATATAAATAATTGAAGTATCTTACTGGAACACCGTTAATGTCAGAGTTGTATTCGATTACACTTTATTGTCTAATATAGTCATTGAATTCAAATTCCATAAAAGCTGTTCCAGTGTCCGGGTAACGAAGGTAAATATGTATTTTATTTGTGGCAGAAATTATCTAAGTAAGTTATTATAGAGTACACACCATTGTACTGTGGTGGAACGCTTCTACGAAAAAAATACGATTTGTGAAAAATAAACATTATTGTACTCGTTTCGTACCAAAAACACTTCTTATACTTCTTGCGCGCAACGTTTTCTTCGCGTTGCTGCCACTTTTCTAAATGCCCTGCTCCCCATGTAATGCCAAAGTTCTCCTTCAATAAAACCTTGGATCATGGATTTATTTTGATTTCAATGATGGCGGGATATTATGGAAAATTTAGTGGTGAGCATAGTCAATCTTGTATCTTGACACGCCCACTACAATTAGTGAGCCCACGATTCTTCTGAAGAAGTCAATTACGGTGAGTCTGTTATTCGTCTATCACCATTTTTATAATGCGTCGATACTATTAATGTCTTTAATATATATTATACTTGCAACAACGCGCTGCGAATGGCTGTATCATTCCTACCTACGGTAAACGACAGCTAACTATCAACCTGAATAATCGACGACAGTATCTATGGACGTTCATCCCTGCTGATGTTCCCATAGCCGTGCTCGGTACCGATTCCTTACAGCACTACGAATTTCTGCAGACGTAGGACGGAACCAGATTGAGCGAAGGAGCCAGAAACGACCCGTGCGAAACCATACGTATACAAGAACATTCGAAACCTAAACATCGACTGAGTGCATTGACAAGAACGTGGATGATCAGGGCAGCTTTCACCAAGATTGACTGAAGTCGACGGTACCAACAGGGTGATGGCCGTAGACATGGGCTCAGGATACGAATTTGTTGCGTGTTCGTAGTTGTCGCTCATCAATTTTAGTGGTGACCGAGTCGAGATTGACTATGATCACCACTAAATGTTGCATACTGTCTCGTCACGTAATATAGAAATAAATACATGGTAGAATATTTATTGAAGGAGAAAGTAGGCGTACACAGAGAGCAGCAAGTTATGAAAAATGACAACAACGCGAAAAGAACGTTGAGCGCAAGCAAGTGTTTTTGGTGCAGTTAAACAAAACGAGTGCAATATAACAATTATTGCTAGAATTAAGTACAGTAATAAATGTTTATATTGCAGCAATTGTGTTTTCTTCGTAAAAGTATACCACAACAATATAAGCCCTTTAAATTATGTCTAAATTTTATTCTTGTTTGTTTTTGAGGCACGGATGGTTGATATCCGTCTATATTACTACCCAAATGACGCGAAAATCAAATTCTGATCAAGGTCCCAAAAGTCCATGCGTACTTACCGTCGGGTGGGCGGTGTACTTTCGCTTCAAGGAAAATTGAGTGGTTACATAAGGCATCGTTTGCTGAGTTAGTAACGTGGGTGAATTGTCAGTCCGTACGCAATCAATGGGAGTAGGTGAAAAAAACAGATATTGTCTCTCAGATACCCATGAACAAATTCCTATTCCTTATTTTGTGAGGTATTTCATAGAAACTCCCTTATAGATCCCATAAGTACCAGGATAAGTTCCGTCCAATCAGTATTGAATGGAACATTTGCAAAAGCGGATGGGAAATGCCGGATCACGTGCCTCGACCCCCATTGGATATTATTTATACTGCTCCTATATTCACTATGGTTACCGGATCTTCCAAAAGTTCAATGTCATGGGTAACTCAACAAATAACCTCAGTTTTCCGTACCTTACATCAAAGCGTTCTCGCTTTTCCCCTTGTGTTCAAATTGGAGCATAGATTTGAACTGGGATTATTAGGAGCGGATAGGAATTCAGACCTCATGTTCATTCAGCAGACTTAGCAACCATATGCCTACAACCTCACATACTTAAAATGTCTGCCTAAAATTTTCCACAAGCATTCGGGAGAAAATAAATACTTATTTTTTTTCCTGGGTCAGTTCTTATTAGCAAAAGAAATCAATTCCTTCTGCCCATACTTTGCATTCTGTGAACCAACTAAATATTTTACTCGTATTCCATCGACAAACCCTTCTTCTATGTGAAACGTTGCTGTGTCCATTTACATTTTAATCGCAAAATTGATTCTTTTTGATCTCATAATGTCTGTTTCAAGAAAATTCAACACGTTATTGAAACGCGAGTATTTAATAACTTATATACGACGAAACTTGAAATGGTTTCTTCAAAACATGTTTATTAGCGATAATTGACTGGGTAGCTTGCTAAAATAGCGTCCTTTAAAATCGACACCGTTAGCGTCAATATCTTATAGTTAGAAAGCTGCTTCATTTTTAAAATCTAATTAGTTACATCTAAATAAGTAATCATAATAGTCGTTAACAATAAATAAAAACTTCTCAAGTGAGTAAAAAATCACCGTTTTAAATAAAATACATAGAGTTGTACACACGGCGTGAAAGTAAACGGTCATATTTTTAGACAAACTAATCATTTATATAGAAGCATATCAAGAGTAAAATAACAGACAGAAGACAAACTTAGTTTTATATCTGAGATCATTGAGAAGTACATATGTCTCGGGTTTTGAAATATGATAAAGCAATAACCAAACTGGTATTCAATAGGATTGAATAACATTATGAATTATATTAATTAAATGCGTCAGTGTAATCCCGTTCATCATGAAAATGATTACTAGTGCGCATTGAACGTGTTTATCAAAAATGCACTCTTCACATTCGAACGTCAGGTTACGCTTAAATCTAGATACAATTTACCACATTATTGTTATACTTAGTGAGCACTTATCAAAGCAACGCAGGCAATACCAAGCTTCTTTTATCTAACAATAAAAGTGGAAATATCTATTTAAGATTACAACTCTTGCCAATTAATATAAATACGTAATTTTTACTTGGAAAGTTGTGGCAAGACTAACTAAATGGTAACTGGATGTTCGATCATTTTTAGTCACATTAAGACAGTAAACAAGCCTTAATAACAAGCACAAACTAACACAAAACTGACGTTTAAGGCACCCCGTCTACGTATGAATGGATGAGTGAGGGAGTGTATCAGCTTTTAACAATTGAGGGTTGTAAAATGTGGGAATAAGCAGAATATATATATATTTGACAATAAGTAATCACTTTTATATATTCAGTCCAATTCAATATTGTTAGCTAATAGTACACAAAAAATCGGATGATAAATATAACTCAAGTACATGAATGTAGAAGTTATTTTATATAGATTTAAATTAAAACTAAAGGTTAAATAAATATACAAGTATATCATAGCAACTTTTAAAATCGTGGATTTTTTCCTACTGGACCACCATCTTCAGCCAGTTGTTTACGTTTCTGTATAATTGATTGTATTTTTTGTAACTGACGATCTAATTCAGCCTTTTCATCTTTTGGTCCAATACGACGTGTACGACGACCGTCAGCCATTTTAACACCATATTGAAATGCTGCTTTTGGCAAAGCTTCTTTATTCGACATATAATCACTGTATTCTTCTTGTGTTTCAAAATCCCACCGACCAACTGGACCTTTTTTATTACCTAAATCCATTTTACTAAAATCAGCTTCATCATCAGAATCACCCATAGCATCGTATGATTCCGCAAAACCAGGATAACACTCATCATAACAGGTGACTTGAGTTTTAGCAAAGAATCGTTCAAGACTTGCCTAGAAAATAAATATATGAGAGATAATTATATAATCACGAGTTGTTGCTTTCAAACAAGATAAATATACTCTATCTATTGATCAGCGGTACATTACTTGTTAAATGAATGAGCCTCATCCTGAATAGAGAGGCTCGTTTTGAACTCAACCGCTAACTACAATTAGACTTAAATATAAATTTTTGACTAATAACACTATCGAGACGATCTATTTAGAATGCACATATGGCAAGTAGAAAATGACCAAATTTAGTCATTAACATCAATAACGTCAAAAACAAAAAGCCCTTATGAATTAGCTCACGATTAGTCATTATCATTACAAACACAGATTTTGACTATCCTGAAATGTTTTAACTTGACTGATTTATTATCAACAAGTTCTGAATAATAAATATGTAGTCTAGAAGTTAAGTATTCATGCGCAAGATTGAAGGTCCCAACTTCAGTTTCCGGAAGCACGGTTCTAGATGAGCATTACTAGAGAATCCCATACTAGGCTGAAACAGATGCCTGTAACTGTCCATGATGGATCAGTTTGTGATTTTAACAGTTTTCGCTGCTAAGGACCGAAGTTGACCGATTTTTAATGGACTATGTATCTAGAATGGTCTCGATACTGTAAATTAGCTACAAGCTAGTAGTCAAATCTAGGACTTGCGTTTGGAAGTGGTCAGCTGGATATCTGCCACATCTCAGTGTTGACGTTCACATGGATACTTGAATCCAATACCTTTCTCATCAAACAACTTTGAGTTATTAACTGGTTTTAAACGTTACCTTACTTATGAAGGGATTCTCATAGTGGTCTGTCCCATTAGGAGATTCATTTGCTGACTTAATATACGAAAATTATATAGTTTAGTTTGTTGAAGACGCTGACAAAATAGTCTTCTCACTATCTTAAACAATAATGCAAGCGTGTTTGGGATGCAATTCTCTTTCTGCATCAGAGTCTGAAATAATGGCAGTGAATGAAGTAGTCGATTGCGCCCACCACTTCACCTATTTTGGAAATCTGGACAGTCTTGATGGGCGGCTGGCGTCTGAAGAAAGTCTTTGTAAACATGAGTCACCTGTGGCATAGGTGAGATATGCGTCTGCCAACCAAACGACGAGTTTACTAAGCAGTGCTTTGTTTTATTCTATGCCATGAAACATCGCCATTAAGAATAGAGAAAATTCCAAGGCTACTAGTAATCAGTCATAGGTGTCTCGAAGCATCACTCGTGTATTTTGGGATCAGCGAGTAAGCAAACGAGTCCCAAACTGAACAAAACTCCCGATTCTTAGTTCCTCTACTAACCACTATCCAACTTTTTTGAAAACTTGTGTTAACATTTGTTTAAAATTTCCTTATAAAGTATTTGACACGGTGACTAACCTAGTTTCCACTGTAATGCATTAAAAAGAGAAATAACTAGTCTCCAAATTCAATGAATCTAGAAAACAAGCTAAATGAACATGTTGAAGTAATGCCACTAGTTGTGTTTACATTTTGACATTAATTTATTGAAGGGAAAGCTCTATATGAGTTAGTTAAGATCAGTTCGTTATTCAAACTATAGAAAATTTTACAGTCTCCGAAAATCTCCCTACACTTATAACAATTATATGTTCGCTTGCGACTAGCTTCAAGATTTAACTACCGGGGTTCAAGTTAAAAGCCGTGACCAGTGGAATTCAACCAGTTTAGGTTATCCATTAAAAGCAACGAATGGGAGTCATTCATACCAACGAATGCTGGTTCAAGGATCTAGAGCTTAAGCAATCATGAGCAGGACATATTCTAGCTTTTACTCCCGAATGAACACTGCTGAGGAGTTCCATATTACAATGAAACAGCGGTTCAAAATTTCCAGGTTCTATTTTTGGTGATTAACATTTCGGTGATGTGTTAATCATTGAGTTTATCACAGCTTTATAAAAGATTAAAGTATCCCCATGAACCATATTTCCCATCATCCAATTTGAAACTAGTAGTTCAAGTGGATTTCATTTTTTAATCAATTGATTATCACATTATATTATCGACAGTTGAAACAATCAATGTGTGTACAACAAGACTGGCTGATATTATGTATACTGGAACTTCTTATTTATTATACTTGATATTGGTTGGGCAGTCTAATTTATTTGAGTCATTATCAAAAAGATTATATATATATATATATATATATATATATATATATATATATATATGACATACTTTTTCTTGAAGCTTATTTTCATCTTTAACACCGAAACGTTGACTTAATTCATTTAAAAATTCTTTAGTAGCATTTACTGAATTATTTGTGGTTGAATTAGCATTAGCGGGGATATCAAAGTACGACGATTGCGGATTATTTGATTCAGTAGTGTTGCTATGATTATGATTAGCAGTAGTAGTAGTAGTATTAGAAGCAGATACAAGATTACGTGTATTTGACGTTTTCGAATCATCAAATGATAAATCTGTTTTATCATCGTTTTTGCCTTGTTTCTTTACTGTAGGTAGATATTCATTGCCGACACCTTCAAATATAGCGGTATCTGTGATGGAAAAAAGACAAGACTGATTAAGAAAAAAAACACATTTTACACGTAAAACAAATGCGGAAAAAGTATGCTACTATACTGACTTATTAATCAATCAAGCAACAACATTGAGATAAACAACATTGTTTCATAAAAAGTAATAAATTTCAACAAATAAAGTTTTCATATTTTTGAACGGTAATACATTGGGTCAGTCAGAAATCGGCCGGATTGCTTATGTTTTCTAGGAATGAAATGTAAACCGTTGTTCGTTGGAATTATATATATATATATATATATATATATATATATATATATATATATATATATATGCACACACTTATTAAATTTCCTATCTCGGCTTTTTGCTCCAGTAGTCGGCTGGGAATCAGGTACTAGGTAAGGATGGTGGATCAATAGATGAATTATTGGAACTTCATCAGTTAAGGTGGTTGGGACATGTGTTACGAATGCCCAACCACTGACTGCTTCGTCGAGGTATGTTTTGTGGTGTGGGTTTAGGGTGGAAGAAACCGAGGGGCGGACTAACCAAAACATGATACAAATCTATAAAGTCATTGACAACTGGATTGAGTCGTGTTGGTAAGTGTCGACTACCTGATTGGGGCCCGCGAGATGATAGTAATCGATGGTTAGAGACCATGAATGACATGGCTCAAAACCGTTTGCAATGGCGCAGGTGCATTCATTCTTTGTGTTCCGTCAAATCTTAATCTTCCGAATTCCTCACCACCTTAATCTTTTTCTTTTTAGGTTTATTTCACTAGATTCTACTTCTTGAATAGTATCCTCGAACCCTTATCTCTCTGATTACTGCTAATACTTCTACTACCTCTACTGATATGGGATTTGAATTGGCAATTATGTCTCTGTGTTAATGTGGTATAGCAACCTGAACTGATGTACGTGCGTACGAAGTTCTACGTTTAAACTGACTGACTGAGTCGGCTGGGCTTATTTATGAGGAGGTTGAGGATTAGCATGAACTATTGAACGTCACACAACACAACAAACGTTTACATAGCAAACGAAAGAGCGTTGGGGTTACATATTAGGAGTTTGGATTTATTTATTTAAATATATAAGCATTGGTACAGAGAGGCACCAAAGTATATATGTGCAACAAAAGTCATTGAAGTTTTGTGTGGGATGGGATACTAACTAAACCGAAGCAGATGGTTACAGGTCTAATCTATGAGGCAGGGAAGCGACGTTAGGAGATGCTGTTTCATGCTAGCCGGTGACCAACATTAGGTTCATATGACATTTATTTCCTTGGGATCCTGGAGCTCATATATTCCAATGGTTTGTTCAGAGCTTTCCAACTCCCATAAAAATAAAAATGACACTTTATCAATCACAGTTTTAGGAACTAGCCAAATGTCATTTTTACTTAGTTTTTAATCAGATATCATTTTTCACAGAGCCTTGAACTTCATGCATAAATTCAAGAGGTGCTATTTTGTAGCTGATTGATTCACTCAGGGTCATCATCAGAGGGTATAAACTCACTGAAATGATCATACATAGCTAATGGCTAATGAAAATAAGACTGACCAGCAATGTAAAATAGTTTTTACGTGAATGTGTAAGGAAAATAAAATAAAGGTATACCAAACTATCATGATGAACAAAAATGGCTGAGAAAATATAGTAAATAAAAAACGTCAACTGATGAATTTATGGGCTTTATAATCTACAAAACTGATCGATATTAACTGTGCAACCACTGTTTTGTTTTAGTATGAGAATTCTCATCAGTGAGCATACACGACCCCATTGGTGATTGGATCCAGAAAGTGACTAGAGGAGTTTGATTTTCGGGTGTGAGTGAGAGTTATACATCGTGCAATACAACGAATTGATTGAAGTCAAGGATGTACACCATCAGATGACGGCTTAGTAGTAAAGAAATTAAGCGTTCGCGCGAGATCCGAAGTTTTTAAAGACCAATCTTCGGTGGGGTCGTGAATACAAATTGTCGAGGCGTTTCATACTAGGCCGAAAGAGATATTCAGTGCATCCAATTTTTCCATCGTTATATAGCTACAATTATTTTGTGATGTAAACCATAAAATCCAACAATCTCCAAAACTCTCTGTATTTACTTACTCACCCCAGTTACCCCCAATCGAGCATAGGCCGCTCACCAGTTTTCTCCAACCAACTCTGTCCTGGGCCTCCCTTCCCAGTTCTGTCCAATTTTTGTACATTTTTCTCGTGTCTTTCTCTGTTTCTCGGCGTAATGTGTTCCTTGACCTTCCTCTTTCCCTTTGACCTTGAGGGTTCCATGTGAGTGCTTGTCTTGTGAAGCAGTTGGGTGCTTTTTGCAGTGTGTGTGTCCTATCCACTTCTACCTCTTCTTCCTAATTTCCTACTCCACTGGAATCTGGTTTGTTCTCTCCCACAGTAGGTTGTTGCTGATAGTGTCTGGCCAACGAATACGAAGTATTTTGCGTAAACAACTGTTAACAAATACTTGTATCTTCGGGACGGTGGCTTTGGTAGTTCTCCAAGTTTCCGCTACATATAGTAGAACTGTCTTGACATTTGTATTGAAAATCCTGATTTTGGTGTTGATTGATATTTTTTTGGAGTTCCAGATATTTTTCAATTGTAGAAATGCAGTCCTCGCTTTGCCAACCCGCGTCCTCACATCTGCATCGGATCCACATTGGTTGTCGATGATGCTGCAAAGATATGTAAAGGTGTTAACGTCCTCCAAGACATCTCAATCAAGAGTGATTTGGTTGGCGCATGTTGTGTTGTATCATAGAATCTTACTTTTCCCTTTATGTATGTTGAGACCTACTGCTGCTGAGGCTGCTGCTACACTGGACGTCTTTTCTTGCATTTGGTGTTGCGTGTGCATTGTCAATCATGAGTGCGAACGGTTCAAACTCAAATCTCTCACCGATGACCAATTCAAATCCCTCATATTCATATGCAGTCTTCAATCACCTAAATTTTCAGACATCAAAACTCGGCTGCTTAACCACCTTGAACAAGACCCAACACTAACACTCGATGCGATCACTGATGAGTACCAACGCATCACCAACGTGCAGCATGACAACACTGGTGCAATCTGGGGGCCGGGGTGGTTCCGAAGTTCACGTTGTTCACCAACAGTTACCTAACCATGATAAAGGTCCCGATGCTACACCCAGTTCATCCCACTATACCTCAGTCCAAAAGTCGAAAACGAATCCGCCTACTCCTTGCTGGCACTGCGGCTCATGGCACTATGTACGAAACTGCTCATTTGGGCAACATCAATGCAGGAAGTGTAAGGTCATCGGTCGTAAAGATAGTTTTTGCCTAAAGAAAAAGCCGAACCGATCCAGAAGTGCTAAGAAGTCTGTTCCTAGATCCGGTACCAATGCATTGAGCCTAATATCTTCCTGTCAAAGCTCATCCACCAGGTGAGAGAAAATTTATTACTCTTAATATCAACGGGCATTTGTGCATAATGCAAACAGATACCGCATCTGATGTCACCATCCTCTCACGCAAAAATTGGACCAAATTGGGCAGCCCAAGCCTGCAGCACACATTACAAAAGCCTCGTACAGCATGTGGTAATTACCTTCATCTGTTAGGACGATTGGAATGTAAAGTTACCTTCCGAGACTCGTCATTTACTGTGGTATGTTATGGAGTGCCAGCTGATTTCAATTTACTGGGTTTAGATTGGTTCGACCAGCTAAAATTGGCTGATGTCCCGTCAAATACCATATACCACCAGGTATCACGACCACATGACCCCGAAGCATATGCGAGGAATCTAATGACGCAGTTTTCAACCATTTTACAACCTGGATTAGGTCGGTGTACTGCCATGAAAGCAACACTTCAGTTGAAACCTGGGGCTAAGCCTGCTTTCCGTCCAAAGAGACCCGTGACTTATGCAACATTAGCAACAGTAGATGAGGAGATGGATCGCCTTCGACAACAAGGAGTTATTACTCCCGTTTCTTAATCTGCTTAGGGCAGCACCTATAGTCGTTATCAAGAAGGCCAACGGCACGATACGTATATGTTCTGACTTCTCTACAGGTCTCAATGCAGCTCTGGAACAGCATCATTATCCTCTGCCCGTCCCCGCAGATCTGTTTACTATGCTGAATGGGGGAAAGTTTTTCGCAAAGCTCGATCTAGCTGATGCTTATTTGCAAGTCGAAGTAGATGAAGCATCTAAAGAGCTGCTTACTATCAATAACCCATCGTGGTTTGCTCCAGTACAACTGTCTGCCTTTTGGAGTTAAGACTGCCCCATCTATCTTCCAGCAACTAATGGATACTATCCTATCAGATATCTCAGGGGTTGCAGCTTATCTCGATGATATCTTAATTGTTGCGAAGACGTTAGAACAGCTACGGGAACGCACGACATTGGTACTACAACGCATCAGTGACAACGGTTTCCGGTCACGTCCAGAGAAATGCCAGTTTTTATTGCAGTCGGTAAAGTATTTGGGATTCATCTTCGATGCCGACGGTCGCAGACCGGATCCTGAGGATATCCGAGCTATCAATCTGATGCCCACTCCCACTAATGTCTCGGAATTACGATCTTTTCTCGGATTAATCAGTTATTATTCAGCATTTAATCCCTCGATGCATCGGATCCACATTGGTTGTCGATGATGCTGCAAAGATATGTAAAGGTGTTAACGTCCTCCAAAGAATCTCCATCAAGAGTGATTTGGTTGGCGCATGTTGTGTTGTATCATAGAATCTTACTTTTCCCTTTATGTATATTGAGACCTACTGCTGCTGAGGCTGCTGCTACACTGGACGTCTTTTCTTGCATTTGTTGTTGCGTGTGCGATAGAAGAGCCGGGTAATCTGCGAAGTCCAGATCGTCCAGCTGCGTCCTAGCTGTCCACTAAATACCGTGCTTCCCTCCAGATGTTGACGTTTTCATAATCCAGTCGATCACCAGGAGGAAGAGAAAGGGTGAGAGTAAGCAACCTTGCCTGACACTGGTATTCACCTTGAACTAGTCTGTAAGCTGACCTCCGTGCACGATTTTGCAGGTTAATCCATCATAAGAATTCCGTATGATGTTAACTATCTTCTTAGGCATGGTTATTTAGCTACAATTAGTTTGTGATGTAAACCCTAAAATCCAACAATCTCCACAAACTCTCTGTACTCATAAAATATAATACTATGAAGGAACTTGATAATTATCTCACCAATATAATCACAGGGGATCGGTTAAAACTTCATATCACAACCACTATTTTTAACTGCGAAGCAAGATGATGGAAGTCTGAAATCGTTGCAAGTTTGATGGATGCTTTTGTGAACAATCGAGTTTCATTAGTCATTCGATAAAGTAGTGTAGCAAATTATTTAGCTTAATGATTATTAATTGGAGTGCTGGCTTAGTTGTGATTAAACCACTTAGTTTTCAATTATAAGGTCAAAAATCTGTAACTCAATCTATCTACTCTGTTTTAGGAAGTTGGATAGAATCAACAGCCATCATGCAGTATAGCTTAAAGCCGAATATATAAACATGTAATTGGTAAATAAATTATATTATTTTGAATTCATGAAATAAGATTGCATTAGAATTGATACTTATGAGAATGGTTTGAAATTATCGTTTATTTCAGAAATGACTGATATGCTCATATGTAACAACATCCCCTAGCCAATAATATAGTGAATCACACTGATAGTAAAAAGAATTTACCAACTAATAATTAAAAAAGAACTTACTAGCCATTTTATGAATATGATGTCGATTATCTTCATAATCTAATTCAGGTTTTTCACCAACACGTCCTTTAAGTTTAGCTTTCTTTGCATGTCGTTTACCAGCTCGTAAATATGATAAGATTTGAGTAAGTTTATTGATTACAATTTCATTTGTAGTTATTGCACCAGCTCCACGGCCATCTATTTGTAAACAATCAGATTTACTGCGAATCACTGTAGCCGGTACTTCAAAATCTACTGAATCATCTTCTAGTTCAATACGATAAGCCATACGACCAGGCTGAAAATATTCATTACGTTCTGGAAGACGTTCATTGAAAAGAACATTGCATATATTTGCTGCTAGATGAGTACGAAATTGTATGCCTTCTTCATTATTAGTACTTTCTTTTATTTTATCTGGTTTATTCAATTCATCGTCCAGTGCATGTTCAGCTTCAATTTCCTTGTTTTGTATTTCCAAACGAACTTTTTGTAATAGAACATAATCAAGACCTTTGACCAAGTGAGTATGTTCCATATCACCACCAAGATATTTAGATTCTTGTATAAGCATTCGACGACGTTCAGCATGTGAGGCACCAGCAGCAGAAGATGGTGCAACAGCACGATAATCAGCTGTACGAGTTAAAGTATCATCGTCATTATCTATTTCACGTTCTTCTTCAACTTCTTCAGTTGGTGCTACAAGTTTACCGTCACGTCGTTCTTTTGCACGATCTCGGTAACGATGTGATGATTCAGAAACATCCGATTTTTGAGTATCTTTCTTACTACGAACGTGATGACGCTTATGACTTATCTTATGTTTACTACGATGGGTCGTTTGACTAGGATCTTGGCGTATACGATCAGATCTTTCTGAGTGATGAGTAGAGCTGCGGGTTCCAGATTCATGTACTTCATCGGTCTTTGAAGGTTGTATTGATGGCTTAGGTGTCATTAACAATTTTCGAAAATCGCTGTTAGATAGTTTGTGATTAGGAAAGTCGCCATGACCAACAAATACATCCGGTGCTAATGGATTGGACACTGCCTCAATGAAGTCAGTCATATTTCTTGCCTGGCAAGCAAAACAAAAACACTGTCTAATCAATTAATAAATTAAAAATTGTTTCAATAAATAAATTTATATCAAGTTGCGCTATACAAGAAAGCTGTTTAGCACTGAGATCTGTTGACCTATTACGACCCTTCGGTTTGCGGTCCTATAGATGTTACTACACAGCTTAGAATGGAGGGTGCTGATGACTCTACTGTAGTTTTCTCTCATACTTGTGAAGTGAAGGGAAATTTAACTTAAAGTTATCCGTAGTTGTGTCTCCAAGTGTATATATTGTTTTAATAAATTTCACTTTCATCGTTTATATCTGCTCAGTATTATCTCTCTTCATGTAACGCATAAGTTTTGATTCCTCGTTATATCAGAGTTCGTGTACTACATAATACAGAAAAATAGCACCAATGACTGATGATTGTTGTCAGTCAGTCAGTCAGTTGCAACGTAGAACTTCGTTCGTATGTAAATAAGTTCATGTTGCCATACCATATTAGCACAGAGACGCAAATCTCAAATTAAATCCCATAGTGATAGAGATAGCAGAGGTATTAAAGGTAATGAAGAAGACTAGGGTTTGAAGATATTATTCAAGAAGTTTAATTCAGTGAGATAAGGTTAGAAAGACAAAGGTAGAGGTGCTGACGAATCCAGAAGATTAGGATTTGAGAGAGATCAACGAATGGATGCACTTGCGCCATTGCAAACGATTTTGAGCCATGTAGTTCAAGGTCTCTAACCATTGATGACTTTCGTCTCGCGGACCCCAACCAGGTAGTCTACATCTACCAACATGACTCAGTCCACAAGTCAGTGACTTCATAGATTTCTGCCATGTTTTGGTCTGGCCGCCCCTAGCTTTCTTCCAACCTACTCCTACACCACAAAACATAGCTCGTCGCGGCAGTCGGTGGTTAGCCATACGTAACACATGTCCCAACCACCTCAACTGATGAAGTTTCACTACTTCATCTATTGATCTGCCATCCTAACCTAGAACTCGTTTCCTAACGATAGCATTGCTTACTCGGTTGTCCCACGATAAATGAGCGATGCTTCTTAAACATCTATGATCGAATACTAGTAACCTACGAACATCTTCTACTCTTAACGGCCATGTTTCACAACCATATAGGAGAACGGAGCGAACTGCTGCGCAGTACACCCGTCCTTTGGTTAGCGAACGGATATCACGCCTACGCCATAAGTGACGCAGGTTGACAAAAGCCAGTCGAGCTTTCTGTATCCGAGCTGAGATTTCGTCAGTCACCAGGCCATCAGCGCTGATGAGACTCCCCAGATAAGTGAAGTGATCAACACGCTCGACTACTTCACTCCCTACCACTAGTTCAGGTGCCGATGCAACCCAGTCTTGAAGAAACATTTTGCATTTCGAGGGTGAAAACCGCATCCCGAACATGCTTGCATTGTTGCTCATGGTAGTCAGAAGACTGCATTTTGTCAGCGTTTTCACCAAATAGAACTGTCATCGGCATATTCTAGATCAGTAAGCGATTTTCCTGGTAGAAGGTCAACCCCTGAAAAATCTGACGGGCTTAATGTTAACTCTAAGAGGATGTCTACAACAAAGTCAAACAAGAATGGAGAGAGTGGACATCCCTGACGGACACCACTTGATGTAGAGAGTTCAGATGACAGTTCGCCATATGCTCTCACTCGACCAGTGGTGTTCGAGTAGAGAGCTTGTATAAGGTTAATGTACTTCTTTGGTACACCTTTCAATGACAGACACTGCCACAAAACCTAACGATCCACTGAGTCAAATGCCGCCTTTAGGTCCAGGAAGACAGCTATTGTAGGACGTCTAAATGTGTGTCTGTGTTCCAGGACCTGTCGTAGTGTGAAAATGTGGTCTCTACAACCACGTCCAGGTCGAAAACCAGACTGGTTTTCTCGAGTCTGCTCTTCACGTGCTCTAGTTAGACGTCTAAGTATAATCGAGGCTAACAATTTAGAAACTATATTAGTTAGACTTATTCCCCTGTGATTGCCACAACAGGACTTTCGTCCTTTCTTATAAATTGGGACAATTAGCGACTGAGACCAGTCAGATGGGATTATGTCCAGTTCCCAGATTCTACCTAAGATCTCGGTCAATCTAACTGTTAAAACTGGACCACCATCCTTAAACATCTCAGGGGTAAGCCTATCAGGACCTGCTGCTCTACTTCGCTTTAGGTTTCCTATAGCTTTCTCAACTTCACGTAGACTGGGAGGACGTAAATCGATTGGCCATTCAGGATGACTGGAGATCGTGGGCAACCAAAGAGTGGCTGAAGGCCAGTTGAACTGATCCCTAAAGTGTTCTGCCCATCGGTCCAGCCTCCTGGATTGAGAATGGATAATAAGACCATCCTTTTCCGAGATAGTCTCACTCACATTCGGGTTCCTAATACCGGTGTCTTTAATAAGGCGGAACAGTTGTCTAGTGTTGCCTATCGCCGCTGCCATTTCCATCGCTTTTGCTTTCGACACCCACCATTGTTCTCGATCATTGCGTAGGCTTTTTACCAGTCTGCGCCTAAGCTGACTACGCTCTTCATCATGTTCAGAGTCGGGTGGGATGCGTTTTCGAGCATCCATCAGTTCGGTGGATGCGACTGAAATCCACGGCTTAATCCTAGACTTATGGTTTACCTCGCTAGCAGATGTCACTGCTGTTTCCACAGCCTTCTTGATATCATTCCAACCTGCCTCCGGATGGGAATTACTTCCATGGCCGCCTAACTGTTTTTCTAGTTCCTCTTGAAATATTTTCTTAGCTTGATTATCATCAAGTAAAGCCCTAAGAGGCTTCCTTACAGTGTCTTTCCTACGTCCAGTAAGCCTCAAACAAACACGAGCTCGCACTAGGGCATGATCTGAATCTAAACATGTGCCCCAGAACGAGCGAAAGTCCTCTATCGAACCCCTCCATCGGTAGATGATGGCGATATGATCTAGTTGCGTCCAACGTTGAGACGACTTCGGGGGTCGCCAGGTCAAAAGATGTTTTTCCTTATGCCCAAAAGTTAGTGTTTGCTAGAAATAGGCGGTTTTCTGAGCACAGTTGCAACAGACGGTCGCCATTGTCTGTTCTCTGAGCCGCGACACCATAACATCCACCTAGGTGTCTTTCATTTTCACTTAGTCTACCTACTTGCGCATTAAAGTCACCCGCCAATAATACTATATCAGAGCGCCTAGCTTTTTGGAGGAGGTCCGAAAGCTTTCTGTAAAACCCATTTTTCACATCGTCTGGACTGCAGTCAGTGGGGGCGTAGGCCGATATGACGAAGAGGCAACGGCGAGTGTCCCTATCCTTCCGAGTCCTTACTGTTCCGTTGAGTCGGACAGCGCACAAACGATTATCTACAGGAATCCATTCAAGGAGAGATTGTTCTGCCCTACGACTCAATGCTATACCTACACCAGCGAGACCCCTGGAAGCAGCATCAGGGCTACCGGATACACGAAGGGTGAATCGAGTTGCTTCTTGTTGCCCTATTTGACATAATGTACGTACATTAAATGCTCCAACATGTAGTTTAGAACGGGGTTTAAGGAGACCGGGAACGACGCTTCGCGAACTCGTATCGTTTGCATTAGCTGTGCACTGTGATAAATGAGTGTGAGAAGAGTTAGTCGTGGATATAAGAGAGGTATTAGGGGGTGTAGGAAGGATTTGATTTTTACCAATTTGATCTCATGTGCTGTTACGGGTATGAGGGCGGTTGTCACTTCCCGGCTGCCCACGCCGTGGAAGGTTGTTTCTTGACAGACCTGAAAAGGAAGATAGATTAGTGTTGGTCTTAGAGACCTGGGAGCGTGGTCGCAGAGCCCAGGGGACAACTGCTTGAGGCCGGTCACGCACGGCCTTTTTATGAGAAGTTTTTTGAGTATTAGCTCCGCACTTGAAAGCCCTTAGTGGGCACCCTTACCACCGGAGACGCAAATCCGTGAGGTAGGGTGAAGTGTGACATTTTTAGGGTCGACCTTTTCTAACCTTTCCTTCCTTGTGAGAAGGCGGCATCGCTGCAGATGCTGGTTGTCCGAGGGAAACACCTTACTGCTGTCACACCCCTCTGCAGTCAGCAGTACGACTTCGCCCTCAGACCTTGAGTAGCTGCTTTTAGTCTCATCGTTCTCCAATCGACCTGCCTGGCATGGTAGAAACTTTAGGAACATAAGTTCCAGCCAATATAGCTCGGTTGGGTCATCACGATAGGCAAGCCCGTCCACCACGTCAAGGTAGCAGCTTCGGTCGGAAAATTTTCAGTTTCCATCGGTAGATTTATTCTGAGGAAGATAATTGTGGCGATTCTTCACTCTTTTGTTAGTTTTCATCATACAAACTTTTTATTTTGATGAGAGGTGCATCTCATCGACTTAATGCCCTTCCAACCTGATATCCATACATGACGATAAACAACCCGACCGAAGCTGCTACCTTGACGTGGTGGACGGGCTTGCCTATCGTGATGACCCAACCGAGCTATATTGGCTGGAACTTATGTTCCTAAAGTTTCTACCATGCCAGGCAGGTCGATTGGAGAACGATGAGACTAAAAGCAGCTACTCAAGGTCTGAGGGCGAAGTCGTACTGCTGACTGCAGAGGGGTGTGACAGCAGTAAGGTGTTTCCCTCGGACAACCAGCATCTGCAGCGATGCCGCCTTCTCACAAGGAAGGAAAGGTTAGAAAAGGTCGACCCTAAAAATGTCACACTTCACCCTACCTCACGGATTTCCGTCTCCAGCGGTAAGGGCTGGCCACTACATGCTTTTAGGAGCGGAGCTAATTTTCGAAAAACCTCTCATAAAAAGGCCGTGCGTGACCGGCCTCAAGCAGTTTTCCCTTGGAGTCTTCAGTCACGCTTTTAGGTCGTTAAGACCAACGCTAATCCACCTTCCTTTTCAGGTTCCTCAAGAAACAACCTTCCACGGCGTGGGCAGCCGGGAAGTGACAACTTCTCTCATAACTGTAAAAGCACATGAGATCAATTCGGTGGCAATTAAATTCTTCCTATACCTCCTAATATCTCCACGACTAACTCTACTCACATTCCTTTATCACACTGCACCGCTAATGCAAACGATTTGAGTTCCCTAAAACGTTATTCCTGGTCTTATGAAACCTCGTTCGTCAGGGGCGGCCAGACCGAAACATGGCACATCCATAAGGTCACTAAAAAGTGGACTGAGTCATGCTGGCAGATGTAGGCTACCTGGTTGGGGTCCGCGAGACGAAAGTCACCGATGGTTAGAGACCTTGAGTGACATGGAGCAAAATCGTTTGCAATGGCGCAAGTGCATCCACTCTTTGTGTTCTCTCAAATCCTGATTTTCTGGAATCGTCAACACCTCTACCTTTGTCTTTCTAAACTTATCTCACAGAATTATACTTAATCTCCCCCTTTACCAGTAGTACTTCTACTATCTCTACCACTATGAGATTTGAATCGACAATTGCGTCTCTGTGCTAGTGTGGTATGGCAACACGAACCGATATACTCACGTACGAAGTTCTACTTTGTGACTGACTGACTAATGCTAATGAGAGTACAATTTCAGGACTAAGTTTATTAATTCGTAGATAAGATTGTGAGAGATGACCGAAGTGTAAGCTACGGAGAGGAAACAGAGATAATAGGCGAGATAGATTAGGTTAGTGGTCTGAGGAGATGGCAATGATAACAACTAGCAAATCTCAGGCGCATGCATCAGGCACAGCTTGCCCAAGAGGGAGATGATAATCCGTATGTGAGTAGTGCTTATCAAGTCTCTTATTAAAGCAGTCTACTGAGGGGGCTGTGGTCACCTCGGCTGGGAGAGCATTCCAGGTTGCGACGACTCGCAATGAGGAAAAGTGTGCACGAACCTGAGTATTCGCTCTTTAATGCGCAATTTTTCGAGGATTGCCTTGAGAGGAGTAGTGGTGATGCGTCGGTAAGATACACACGTTGGGATGGTTTGGCGTGCTTAGTATGTTGTACGCCATAATCAGATCAGCTATGATTCTCCTGTAACTCAGGGGGAATAATCACAAGTGCTGGAGTCCATCTTCGTAAGGTTTGTTCTTCAACCCTATCACCCATTCGTTGCTCGTCTCTGCACTCGATACAACAGATTTGTGTCGCTTTTAAGCAGAGGGGGTGCGACAATTTTGTGAACCTCAAGGTGTGGGTGTGCACATGTCTTAAACAACGTTAAGAATAATTCTGGGGTGATAGCACCGTTGTCACTGCATAAATTGAAGAGTCTCATTCGGCTTGGCTACGTCCCCTACATAGTTCGGACTAGTGCGGAGGCTTTTTGTGGTTAATAAACCGAGGTCGCGCTCTGTGGAGACATTAGGGAGCACACTTCCATTGGGGGGTGTAAATCGCTTGTTTCATGTGCAGCAGAATGTGTACACGACAAGACACTTCCGTTGGTTTAGTTTTTAGACCGTTTTTCACTACCCATTCCTCAATAGATGTAAGGTCTTTTTGAAGCTCAGCCGAATCCTCTTCGCTTTTAATGGACCTCCAGATCCTTGCGTCATCTGCGTAGATCAATGCCGGTGAGCTGTGTCTAACAGGTCGTTAATAAATATCAGGAAGGGAAGTGGACCTAAGATGGTGCCCTGTAAAACTCGCCAACTCGCGTGCGCTCTATTTACCTTGGTACAGAACATTCTATTCTCAAGGTAGTTTCTCAGCCAAGATACGAGTGGGCCAGTGAAGCCCATTTCCGCAACCTTTGCTGTTGGGCGCGCGTGGGGTATTGTGACAACGGCTTTTGCAATAATAATTACTGGTATATTATTTGTGAGTTAGTACTTTTTGGTTTTATAGATCTCCAAAGTTTTAGGACAGGCTTTCATTGCTGTCAGTAAACATGCTACTCAAACTAATTCACACTTTTCTGTGATCCGTAGAGTAATGACATAATTAACGGATGATACGGTTTCGTCAACGAAATCAATTGGGGGGATTTTCCATCCCCAATGGTAGTTTCTATGCTGAGACCTCGCACTAAACCTTGTGAATATATCTTAGTAAATATAGCTTTGACTTATGGTGAGAGGTGCTAAAACGTCGACTGAATTTGTTGATCTTAGTAGAAAGTATACTAAGTTCATAGTAATCTTCTAAATGTTGGGGCTCGGGACTAAATGAAAATTTCTCGCTGATCAGTAAGAAAGTTTATAAATGAACCTTGTGACGAATTTAGATAGTTGGCAACGTTAATATTCAAAATATAAAATAAGCTAAATGAACTCGACCTACTCAAGCGAACAGCTGCAACTCCGGTTCAATTTAGCCGCAACTAAAACTGCCTCACTATCCAATATCATATTCATGATATTGTATAAACTAGTTGATTTTGTTACGCTCGCTGCTCGTTATTTCGTTGCCGTTCTGGGTATTCTTTTATGTTCGATAGATGATAATCCAACCGATTATATGCATTAATGCTAGTCAGTTGGCAGCCATTTATTAGTCTGTAGGTCCTCAAATTTGAATGAGTACGTTTATCTCAAACTAGTGGGGTTTCTGGATGCCAGAAGCTATCATATTACTAGTCCGCAGATCATTCGATTTCAATATGGCGAAAGATAAATAGAAAATTCCAGTGATATTAGGCATATATCTGGAACTAAGTAAGGAATTAGGTTTGGGTTAGTCTGTCCTCAGTTAAAACTGCAAGGCCTCATATGTTTGAGAAACGTAAATAGAAGGGTGTGAATATAAAGTGGCTGTCAAATAGAGTGCTTGTGTCTCTTTGTATTTCAGTTCTAAGGCTAAAGCTTCAGTACCAGTACTATGCATGTGTAATGGTATACTTTTACGGAGACAACACATTTGCTGAAATGGAATCATATATTAAAGTACTTAATTATGACAATAATTTTTAAAATGTACTCCTTTTGTTTAACTGTCCTAAAGACTGTCTCTTTCGCACCAAGTGTGTCATTCCCATCCCGCTTCTCTCTTCGCTGGCCGCTCCTGTTTTCTGGTCTTATTTAGATATCAATAGGCCAGCTATAAATAGAGTTATTCCAGAAGTCTTTTCTTTGACTTCTGGATTTATTGGGATTCAACTATGTAATCCCGCAGAGAAATATATTTATACCAAATCACTATGCATGTAACGAATAAGAGAAAATTTGGGGTAGCAAATAAGAGCAATGCACACTTGCTTCTGTTGCGACGCCCTCACACCAGGTTCCCCACACAAACGTGACTTCGTGTGTCTGTAAACAAAACTCCTACCAGAAATGCCATGTTGAGTCACCAAACAAAGTTTTAACAAACTTTTTGGCAAGAACAAAAATATTCTAATTTTAAGACTTATGGTCAGGTGATATTAACACAGCCTTCTATTCTTGTCAGGAAAATAATTGTTAATTATGTACATACAGAACTTATACAGGCGACGTTTGTACGGCTGGAGAATGTTTTCGGTAATAGGCCTTCTTTTCTTATTGTGGAATCAATTTTGAAGGCTTTGTTTTTGGGAAATGTATATATTTGTAATATGTCCTTACTGACTCTTTCTGTGCTACATTTTGGTAGTCTGTTTAACCCCATTTTCGGATGCTAATAGTTGTATTTTATTATAGTTTCTATTTTTGTAACTTTATTGGAGTTTCTATGTTTTCTACTGAACTGTATTATGTTTTTTTAAATTGATACTTAATTATGGCTTCACCCATATCGGATTTGATACCTTGGCAGGTGAAACATGCATCTGGACTGGAAGGGTTCAATTTTGGACCAAAACGGATGCATTCTTCCAGAATTGGAAACACAATGTGTTATTTTTGACGGAAAACAGTGTAATATTGTATAGGTAATTATCTGTATTTTTCGAATAATAATAGAATCGTTTCTTACCGTGATAAATTGCTTTCTATTTAGATTAACGGAGCAAGGCGCGTACCTAAACTTCTAGAACTGTTTCCTCGAAATCAGAATCCACTCTGAATCTAACAGTTCTAAACAATATTTGAAGAAGAAGAATCCCTTTGTTATCCCAGTTTTAAAAAATAATTCAACAAGACGTATCCAGTGAATTCTAAATCCTGATCAATATTGGTAGATTGGAGTTTTAAACCCTGTGCAATATTACTAATTTGGAGTTTTTTTCCCGAATTGCATGTATTACAATGAATTCTCGTAAGAAGAAGTCATGCTAAAGTCTGGTTAGAAGCCATGAAGACAAACAGAACTACTATTCCTTTGTAATAAAGCAAGCGCCTCTTCCCTCCCGAAACTAAAATGGTTCACTCTCAGATAGGGAAGATCATAATTCTAGGTTATATAATCGTAAGCCGTTGTTACAGGGCACTAAAAATTGTAGTTTGAATCATAATATTGAAGTACCTGGAAAAAATTTGATGTCTGTAGCACCGGTTGTGGGCCTAGAATTACCAAAGGTTGAGTTAAGCTACTCTGATGGACAACCTCGTGGAAACTGGAAATTTTTGTGTCAATTTGGAACTTATGTCGAATCCCGAGTCGATGAGGATAGCTCGCGTTTACTCTATCTGATTCACTACTGCCAGGGTAAGGCTAGGACTGCCATCGAAGTTTGTGTGATGTTAGAAGCGTCTATCGGCTATAAAAGGGCTAAAGAACTTCTAAAGCGGCTATTCGTGCAATATCACGTTATAGCTAGAGAAACGTTGAAAGAGCTGTTCCATCCTGGGAACGTTGATTATAATGACGCCGAGCAGCTATCGAACTTAAGGATAAAAATGAAGCAGTGCGCAAAGGTGTTGGAGCAAACGAATTGCACCATTGATTTGAATTCCTTAGCGACTTTGGAACGAATAGTGAAACTCTTACCTCACCGCATGCAAGTCCAGTGGGCAGAGCTGGCAATTAGATGGAGTGATGAGGATAGAGAACCCACATTCGTCGAACTCACAGAGTTTATATCGTCCTGTGCAAAGATAGCCAGTAGTAGATTTGAACGATTAGCCAGTCGCCCAAAAACAGGGGATGATACGAACGTGAATAGTCATCTGAGATAGGGACATGAGAATTCTTCGAATGTTTTTGGACCTAAATCACGCCCAGAAATGAGAGAAGTTGTTAATCGTGTTAGTAAGGTAAATCTCCTGAAGACCGAATATGTACGCCTTATGATGCAGAGCTTGTTGACGTCTATCCTAGTGAGAAGTCAGTATCTGTAGAGTATAAGAAGGCTTTTCCGAGGATAGCGAAGAAGGAAAAAAGCAGAGGGTTTAGGCATCAAGTCGGATCCGATGGTAGACGTCCCCTAACTGCTCGAAATGCAAATTTCACTCGTTTCGCAAGAAGTGGTAATTTGGATTCGAGCAAACAGAGGGTGATGGAAGCCGTGAGTGTAAATAAAGACGAAAAAGGTTTGACTGTATGGAACGAAGCTCGTGTTCGGAACCCTCCAAGTGGGGTAGATTATCTGCTACGACCTAGAGCTGATCCTAGGATATCGAGCGTGAAGAATGACACAGCATTTCATGTTTCTGCAAGATCAGGATGTCTGCGGACACAGTTTCAGATAAAATTAATAAATTGAAGAATAGATCCCCATAATATATTGCACGAGAGAATACGATAGAAAATGACGTTTTTTCGAAAAACACGTCCAGGGGACCAAAACATTTTCCTCCTTTAACTAAGAAGAGTGAACTGATTAAATCTTAGGTCTCAAGTAAAAAAATTGGTAGTATTCAAACCCGCTCGCCTGCGACTTTCCCAACTACGATGAACAGGTTCACTCCTTTAATGTCATGTGATGTGCCCCTAGCCTCTCCAAGTTGTAAGACTGATAATATTAGGAACATGTCAGACCAACATCTGATCATGCACACAAATAATAATTATCCAAGAGCTAGGCGCACTGCTCAACCACGAAATCCTAGAATTATTAGTGGAAATGGAAGATTTTTCACTCCACACCCTATCCTAAATACCCGGGCTTTTATTTGCGAAAACGCTGAGAATGAAAACTCTATACATTCTACTCTACCAAGCCAGCTGGTAAACATGACCCTCAAATTTAGAAAAGGTCATAACAACTGTCACTCGTATATGGCAAACCCTCCCCAAGTTAAAACCATTCCGTATAAATTTAACCTTAGTAATGAGCTGAGTCATCAAGACATCACTAGAAAAGGTGGTGAACCGCAATGCCAGCCGAATCTAAATTTTTTGGGATACAGACACTTGTGGTACCTCTTGCGCGACATATAGCTCAAGTCATTTCATACCACATACAGAACATAAAAACACTCTCCTCGCACAATCTCAAACAGACAACATTCTCCCCCTTTTCCCCCGGGCTAACAACCCCTCCTGTAAATTTCAGTAATTTACTTAACATGTCCCCCCTAACTCCTCATACCACACTCACGTGTGTCCATAGTAACTCCTTTACTCAAGATACCCTAAACTATTTTAGCTTAGCGGGACATCTGTTTAATATATGTCTTATTAATGCTCGTTCAATCTGTAATAAAAAGACAGATCTAGTCATGTTTACTACTATCTGCCAACTATCACTTATTATGGTAACTGAGGCATGGACCTGTAGTAATATTTCTCATCTTACTATATCTCTTGAAAACTATGATCTTAATAAACTGATAAATGGTCTTTCGTTCGGAAAAAACCCCCCAATTATGAACCACGACACTGCTTACAGACTTAGAAACAACGCATATACACTATTAACGGCAAAACACAAAAAAGACAACGGAGTTTCCAGTATCAGTACTTTTCTTCGACTTTAAGAAGGCTTTTGCTAAGGTCCCACACAGAATGCTTCTACTTAAACTAAAGTCATTCACACAGCGAAGAAGATACGATTTGTGAAAAATAAACATTTTTGTACTCGTTTTGTTTAACTGTACCAAAAACACTTCTTCCACTTCTTGCGCACAATGTTCTCTTCGCGTTGCTGCCATTTTTCTAAAGGCCCTGCTCCCCATGTAATGTTAACGTTCAGAGACACAAGACATATGCACATCAATAGCATCGTTATCATGCAACACTGTACACTGGCTGTTACCATCAAACGCTCCCTTCTCATCATCACTCGACTGACAGTCAACCGGAGTAGGAACACTTACAGTTACACAACCTTGTGTATCCTCAGTCAACTTAGCATTCGCGGCAGGGTCCGATGACGTTAAAACACTAGAAGGCTCATTCGATGAAGTTGATCCACTAGTCACTGTAGGTGGACTGCTCACACTTTCTGTCTCTTTACTATCGCTGTCACTACTAAGATTCTGATGACTACTATTTCCATAGCTAGTCACAGCATCCGAAAGAGAACGAAGTTTGCGCTTCTTA